ATAGGAGAACTCACTTAGCTTTATCTACCTAGATACCACAGAGAAAAGCAGCTCCTGATTGGCCAGTTGTCCACTTCAAGAATTTAACCCTTTAGTTTCCATCCAAAATTGAACAGTGAAACAAGAGTAGTGCTGTAATACTTGCAGAGTTAAAATACAAGACATGCATTTTTTTAGTTCCCAGAAATTCTCTGAAGGCCTAGAAGGCCCTGAGGCTTCCCCTCTGATAACGCTGTCACCGCCTCTTGCCTGCCAGCTGTCATGGCATTTAAGTTGATGACGAATTGTTATACAAATAATCATGATTATTTATAGTTCAGTGTTTGGCCACTTTACATATCTTATTAGATAAAAATATGAAAACATTACAGGTCACAGTTTCAGGTACTTGAGTTGCACCTTTGGTGGTTAGTTAGTTAGTTACTTAGTTACTCATTAGTTAGTAACCTACTTAGATAGTTAGTCATATACAAGCCAGATCCATGAGATGCTTCACATTTAAAAACAAACAAACAATAAAAAATGCAAACTAGACTGATTATTTAGGGGACGCACAGTGCACTCCACTTTTAAACTGCTGTCTCTCTCTCTCTCTCTCTCTTTCTCTCTCTCTCTCCCTCTCTCTCTCTCTCTCTCTCCAGATGAATCCTGCAGGGACATGTACTTTAACTGTGTGCTGGTGGTGCAGGCTCGGCTGTGCGTGTACTCCTATTACCGCACAGCCTGCTGCGCGTCCTGCTCTCGAGCCTTTCAGAGGGACACAGTCCGGACCCTCAGGTGATGACATCATTCCACATACGGCACTGCTTGTTAATTGTATGGCTTCATGTGGTGTCCCTGTCTGAGGTCTGTCCTGACCTGTCTCACATTTCTCCCCGGCTGGCTGGCATATATGACGCTGATGTCTCTGGAATATGATAACATTACTGTATCGCTTAAATGACATCATAGCTCACCTTGTTTTTCTCCATTTGAAAGAATAAACCATTAATAAAGTGCCACAACATGTTTAGTACCTGATCATGCAAATGAAAGAAAGGGATGAGAATGTGTCCAAATGTCACTGTCATAACTAAATGTATCTCTGGAATAGTAACTTTATGGAAGAAGAAAAAAAATGTCTCTAACTTTAATGTACAGTACTGAGACCACCCTTCACTTACAATTTACAGTCAAAACAGCCATCAAGTACAAGTTGTTCTTTTTTCAGCATCAGGGAAAAAAAAAAAAATTGTAATTATTTAAAAAAGAAAATTACATAAATACATAATTACATAAACTAAATATATTACATTTTTTCAGTATTTATTGTGCCCACTCTTTACATTTATTACAGCTTCCAGTCTTTTCAGGAGTCTCACTTTCAGTTTTTCAAAGAAATCTGCAGGACTGTTTTTCCACACCTCCAAAGTTCAGTCTAAGAAGTTGGTTGCATTTTCTGCTCCTCACAATCCAAATAATCCCAAACACATTCAGTGATGTTGAGGTCTGGACTGTGGGGTGGTCAGTCCATTGTTCTGAGAACACCAGCAGCTTCTTTGTTTGATTTGCAGATGTTCTTCTTTTTAAGTCCCTTTTTATCTGATAGGGCAAGTTTTGGTGGTCTATGAGGTCTTGCAGGTGGTTGCTAGGAATCCCATTTTCTCTGTAGCTTTTTAACCAAATTTCGTTTTGGCTGGAAACTAAATGAAGGGTGGTTATTCCAAGTGAAAATAAGACATTCACACAATGTAAAAGACAGCTGGTGTTTTTTTGTTTTTTTTATGGTGTAAAATAAATGGGTTTAATGCGACGGCAGCAGTGTGCAGAATGTCTGGATGACTACATGACTGAAGTCACTTGGACTGCTGGATGATGAAGAGGTTTTAAGCTCAAGGGATTTGACCACATAAGGCACACAAACACAGTGATGCAAATCAAATAATCTGAGTGCTACTTTTTACGAGCTGCCTTTTTAATTTTTTAATTTGATCTTCGTGGGGTGGAGGGTGGCTGGAAAATGAGCAGAGGAATACAGTTTAACTATATGCAGCTGCTAAACGAAGCTTCAATAAAACAATCTTTTTTTGAGAAGTCTGTTTTGCCTGCTGGTGCTCTTTCCTTCAGAGCCTGAGTTGAATATGTGAGAAAATCAGATGAATCTAACAGTCCTGAACCGTCCCAGTCTGGGCAAGATTGAAATGTACAGTGTTCCTCCTCACCCTGAATGTAATCGATCAGCCAAGATTCTTTAGCTTCTTTAGTTTTCCACTGGAGCTACAAAGCTAATGTAGCTAACAAGCAATGGACAAAATGCAGGCCTCAGGCTGCGGCTGGTTTTAGCTATGTGAAGTACATAGATCCAGTTTTACAGAGGACAGTATTCGAGATTAAGATTAGAGACACAGTTTGAAGCTAGCATGTGATGGACATTGGGCAGTTTGTACAGTGGTAAATGGTGGGGTACTGGCTTCTATGGAAGCCCATTTCCACCACTGGAAAAAATATACAGCCATTTATTAAGTCATAATAATAAAGTTTTCCATTTTATGACTTAGTATCTCATGATTATAACATAGCAGCTCAAAACTTTGACTTGCTGTCTCATAATAATGACTTACTACGTTATTACTGTGACTTGGTATCTCACAATTATGACTGACTGCTCATAATGACTTAGCATGTCGTAATTATGACTGAGTTTCTCATAATAATGATTTATTATCACATAAGATCCAATCTCATATGACTTAGCATCTCATAATTGTCATAATTATGACTTACTTTCTCATAATTATGACTTAGTAGCACATAAGATTCAATCTCATATGACTTAGCATCTCATAATTAGGACTTTCTCATAATTATGACATTGTATCTCATAATTATGACAATTTTCTTGTTAATAAGTATTTATTTTGAGCTATTAAGTCATAATTATGAGAAACTTTCTCATTATTATAAGACACCAAGTTGTCATTATGAGATAGAATCTCATTATTATGAGATAGCAAGTCATAATAATGAGATACTAAGTCATTATTATTGAAAAGTTTCTCATTATTACCTTTTACAGGGCTATATATTTCTCCAGTAGCGGAAACGGGCTTCCATAGGCTTTATTACTTCCCTGGTGAAAAACACAGCAGACTAGCGTGCATTGCATGTATTCCATGCTGGTCTTTGCTGGTCTGGTGCTGGTTTATCTGGTCACCCAGCATACCTGCATCCAAAATACAACATGGGCTGGTTTTGCTGGTCTACGCTGTTTGTTCTAGCAGTGTTGTAGCTATATTAGTAGCTACACTAGCCTCATAACTCGGGTGCAAAACTAAAGAAGCAAATTTCAGACACCAAATGTGTGTCGTGGCTGAGAGACTACTCAAACACCAACACTGGAGGGCCACAATAATACATACAGTTTTCTGCTTCTCTTTAACGTAACTGATTCGACTCATTAGGTAATTATCATGACGAGTTTATTACTAAAACAATCAGATGTGTTTATGCAGGAAAAATATTAAACTCTCTGCTGAAAAGAAAACAGAAACCATTAAGCGTTTCTCTTGGTTCCCAGTGGTTTCGTCATGTGTTGTTGTTTTCTATGATTGTTTGATATCACAATGTGAACAGATGACCTCTGGCTGATTCTTGAAGCATTTGATGTTTTTCCTAATGGAATCTAAAGGTGTCCTACAGGAAACTCAGGGTCTCCTATGGTATCCATTAAGCCAACTCCCCTTAGGAAGCAAAGCAGGGCTGTGGTGACGCCTTTCAAGACTTTGAAATTCATGCTGTAGTGTCAAAGTAGTGACCTCTAGTGGCAGTGAACACATTAACACAGGAACTCAGGGCTTTAATTAGCCTGCTATAGTGTAAAACTTGTATATGCAACATGCTCTTCATCCAGATTCACGAAATGTAATTTAAAAAAAAATGTGTTCAAATATTCTTTAAATGAAATTTGTCATATTCAGTAGCATCAAACAGCTAATCAGGATTAACTTTTTCAGTTATCCAAAGTCCTGACTTAAGTACTGAATACTGAAGGCACTTACTGCTTCATTACTGGCACAGTAACACAGTAACGACTGATCAAATGTGTTCAATTTACCCAAGACATGAGAGGTATTTGCTTTGCTCATGGTTTTGCAGTGGAGTTACAAGGCTAATGTAGCTAAAGTTATCCTTCATCAATCAGCACTATGCTTAAGTCATCTTAAATAGACTTGCTTATGTAGTTTGACACTGTATGCCGTACTGTTAACTATAAACAGAGAAACATTTCAAAGCATCTGTATTACCGAAACTTTTCCTTTTAAATGATGTCAGGTTTCATTTAAAGTATACAATATTTTAGCAAGTATAATCATATTTCAGCCACATGCTGAATCTCTCACAGGGGCTGTGCATCTTGTTATAAGGACTGTAATGACGGACGGCAAATGCTGTTGAAATTGACTTCGAAACCCCGGAAACACTAATCCTGCTTTAATAGCTTTAAAGGTTGGTAACTAAATTCAAATGAAATGTAAGAATGTTCACTAAAGCAGATCTTTGAAACCAAAGACCAAAGACAAAATAACCACAGAGCACAGAAATCATTCCATCAACGCTGGGGAAGTATTTAAATCACATGGCAAACACTTATCTTTAATTTTCTTTACAGCTTTGAGCAACACTAAAAATAAGACAAAAAGTCCAAATAAATAAGATACAAATATGAATTAAAGTGAAACATTGGCCAAATGTGCTTTGGGGGTATCAGTAGCAACATCAGTTTTTAACAGAATCAAAGATAATTAGCTTTTTTTTTTCGGAATCTCAAACGTTAATAGGGTTAGTGATTGTGAATAGTGCACAAGACAGCTTACAAACCAAAAAGGCGGGAAAATCAATCTCAAAAATAGCCTTTAACCTAAAGTGCATTATAATAATAATGATTCAGAGCCAGAGACTAAATCCTCTAGAAGGGAAATTTCAGCATCCTTTCAAACGTCCAACATTCTTCAGGGAGGGGGTCAAAAAAAAAGTGTCCCTGACTTTGGGATATTGGCCATCCCCAGTAATTATTTTGGTCTTACTGACACAATCTTAACAGTATTAACAAAACAAAACAAAAAAATCTCAGGTTTTGCGGAGCTCTCATTAATGCACTCCCTCGTTTAGTGTTTTCTCTACACTTTTCTAAAAACACTCCCACAGTCCAACACCCCTCTGTCTGTCTGTCTGTCTGTCTCTCTCTCAGTTGCTTTTGCTGTTGCGTGTTTCGGGCGTCCTGCAGGCGCGTGGGCTGAGGTGGGCGACGTAGTCGTTCTGGAAGCGAGAATTTGGCGTCCGCTGCCTCTTCCTCTCACTCTGCGTGGTGAAGAAAGCATCTTCAAAACGCATGCTGGAGGCTGTAGACTAGACACGCACAAATAAACAAACAACCAATGAATTCCTATGTAAACCCTCACAGATGATGGATTTGACAATAAGCTACAAGCAAATACAAGGGACAAAACATTGGAAACACCTAGTCCTATATTACTGCCGTGTACATGTAAAGGCGCAGGACCATCCTGTGCCTTTAGTCCGGTTTCAAAATACAGTAAAATACAAAAGTCAAAGACCACCAGTTCAGTCAAAAAAGCCATAAAGTGCAAAGTAATTAATTTTTCATCATCAGGAAAGAAGCAGAAAACATATTTAACTGAAAATTAGATTAAATTAAATTAGAAGCCTCAACAACTAAATATATCATCACGTTAGAAATTCACAGTATTTAGTGTGTCTAGATGTAGGGTGTCCTGATTTTTGTTAAGACAGAGGGGTAGGGCGAAGTGTTAGGGCTACATGGGCCTCCAAATGGAGGTTTTTCAGAAGTACACTCCAAACGGAGTGTTATGAGAAGAATTAGGGGTGGGTGATAATAAATAATTGCCCCCCTCTTTGAAAAAAATAAGATGCCCTAAATCTAACTAAAACCCAGCAGCGAGGTCTGAACTTTACCCTCCTCTCCTATCACTGCAGACTGGCAGGGTCGCCTACAGAGCAGCGCTAGTAGCTGTTAATGAAGCAATGCTCTTTTTATTTGAGGGTCCCATTTCTTAGGGGAAGATTTCAACCACTACCCCTGTAACTCAGTTCCAAGGGGCAAGATGACACTCAAAAACAAGAGGTAGGGGTAAATATATGAAATGGGATTGGGCCTTAGTTGGGAGCACACAGCTGTAATTGGTTGGTTTTAAGACTGGAAGGGTAGAAGAGTTAAATGAAATGAAAGTGTGGTCTCTGAAAGTGATGCACAGTCCTGTATATTAAAACTGTAATATAATATATTGTATTATATTTTGGCCTATTTGGAACCATGTTAGCTGCTTTATGCTGTTCCAGATCAATCATTCCAGCTAATATGTATGTGTTAGCTGCCCTTGTGATTTAGCTTCAGAGTCCTTTATGCCCGGTGTTTCCATCATTTTGCCCACTTCCTGCTTTGTTACACAGGACAAAAGATCAATTGAAGACTCACAAGACGACCTTTAACCTTTTTGGGCAGGTCCTCATCCAGCGTGTAAATGTCCTCTCTCTTAGCCAGCACCTGGGAACCGTCCTCAAACTCCACCTTACACGTGTACAAACATATGACACGTAAAACAACACGCAATAACAAAAGACACTGCAAATACACTGCAAATACACTGCTGCTGTGTACCACAATACAAAAACACACAGCACTTCTGTATCAAACGTCTATCAAATATCAAAATAATCCCACTCTAAACATCTTTTACATCAGCCTGGCTGTACATATGTAATACATTCCCTCTAGAAGACTGCACTGTTTGTGTACCTGATACATGTACGTGGTGTTGGAGCCCAGGTATTTGGCACCATAGAAAAGTCCATCAGGCCACTTGACCTGCACAGCTTCTCCAACTTCTGGTGGTCCAAGCTGGGCACAGTCTCTGCTCTGCGCAGGGTAGAGGACGGAGACAGACTTGGTTATTCAAAAATGCAGATTCCTTTGAAAGTTAACTTCATACTTGTTTATGTAACTGGGTGTTCAAATAAGGCAAATGTAGGATGTAATAAGGTTGCATCTTATTATAAGCGAAATTGTGACATATAAGTGGAGCTACAGTACTGTGCAGAAGTCAGAGACCACCCTTCATTTATTTAACTTCCATTCAAAACAGCCTTAAAAGTTATTTATTTGTCAGAAAAAGGTGTCAGAAAAAGTATGAACATATATCTAACAGAAACTAAATATAATATTTTTTTCAGTATCCAGTGCGTCCACTCTTTACCTTCATCCAGTATATAAGAAATCTGCAGGGATATTAACACACCTCCACAGAAATTCAGTCTTAGAAGTTGGTTGCACTTTGCTTCTCACAATTCTACTAATCCAAAACACCTTGTGTTTTTGAGGTCTGGACTCTGGGGTGGTCAGTCCATTGTTGTGAGAACACCAGCAGCTTCTATGTTTGACTTGCAAATGTTCTTCTTTTGTAAGTACTGTTTATCTAATGAGAACAGTTAGGCGATCTACCAGGTCTTGCAGGTGGCTGTTAAAGTGGAGTCACACTTTTTCTGTATCTTTCTCTGTAACGCTCTATTTTCCTTTGACTTTCTCCTGCGAGTGGATTATCTTCCACCTAATCTCCTCAGAAATACCTCCTGAAAATGAGTAAATTGGTCTTTGACTTTTGCATATTACTGTATGTTAATGTAATAGCACTTTATTCCATGTTAAACACACAATTTCTATTGGTTCATTCATCATTAAAAATTTGCACAATGTCTGCTTCTCATAATCCAAGTAACCTCAATTACATATTTAGACTCATCAGATGCAACTAAACTAGTAACATTAGCGGAGGTAATGGACAATTAGCTGTCTGTTTATTTTAAAGACTTTAGATTGACTGCTATCAATCGAGACTCGACTACTATCTACTACTATAGTTTCATTTAAAGCAGTAACACTAAAATATTAAGTGGCATTCAGACAAATAGAGCAGCGCGGGAAGTCGCTGAGGTGCGTCATTTCTGGATGGTATGCACATCTGATTTGTGGTAGTCTTTACTTTGTGTACATGAACGTTCACTAACTGACTCACCACAATGTCCTCGGGGTAGGTGTCATTGCTGAATGAGCCATCATCAAACATGACCTCGTAAAAGGTTTGGGCCATTACTTGAGTGACGCGGGAGCTGTAGTAACGCAGGTTCTTGTGCTTGGTGATCACTGTTTGACCCAGAGCCAGCTCTGTTCGGCTGACCTTCAGCTTCTGAGCAAAAAAAAGATTGTTGTATTAATGTTGGTAAAGGGTTGTAGCGTGTTTGTCGGTTTCTTTTTTATGCATTTCTTTATAGAATCACTAGGTCCAGAAATTAATACACCACTTTTTCATTCGTGAGAATGTGTTTTTTTTTGAGAACACAGTTTGAGTAAAGATGGAAATCGCCAAAAACTTGACAGTTGACAACAAATGAGGACAACAGAACCAGACTGGTAACCAAAAAGGGAAGAAAAAAAAAAAACACAGTAGTGATAATGACATTCAGTTCAAAGGAACAGCCTTGCATCTTTCAACCTCATCTCTATCTGCAGACGATAACTTCAACTTGTTCACTCAAAACTCACTTATAAAAGAAATAATTAGGCAGTTGCTGAATTCTGGCAAAAAATCTAATTTACACAATTTTTCCACTTACCCCAGTTGTATTAAATCAGCCAAGACATGATTGGAGTCCAAATTTTACTTCTTTAGCTTAACACTGGAATGGCAAGGCTAACACTCCTAACAAACACCAGAACTCAACTGTCACCCAAATAGCCCAAACTGTTGTCGTAAAAATAAATAACCAGAACTTTTCTTTAAGGTCAAAAACCTTGGCTGATGTGATTAAGGACACAATATGACTTACTGTGAGCTATAAAAATGAACCAAACATCACCGCAGCCATTTCAGACAACACAAGGGCTGGTATTGACAGAGCAGGACTGATCTTGAGTCAGATTCCTCCATATTTACAACGGACATTGTCATAAAAACTCACTTCAGATCAGTACACCTACTTCACAGGTGGCCTGTGTGTCCTAAACCACACTGACAGGTGTGTGCCATCATAAAGACCTGGATACTCTCTGATACAGTTTTGGTGCTGTGTTTAAACAGAAACAGTCTGGGCTATTTGGGTGACTACTGAGTTCTAGTGTTTGGTAGCAACACTAGCCTCAGAACTCCAGTTAAAAACTAAAGAAACAAAGTTTCCAAACATGTCTTAGCTCTTTGACCACATCTGTGGTAAGTCATAAGAACAGCTTTGGTAGGACATTCTCTTGGGTCTCATCCTGGAGTGTAATGCTGTAGTTTCCATTTTGGGGTTATGTACATGTGACAAGCTTATTCATGGAATTCAGCAACTGCCCACTGATTTCTATTATAATTGCATTCTGAGTCAGTGAGTTTTCTATTCTTAGCAAAGGGCCATGTGTTAAAAATATTATCTGTGGTAATCAAGAGTGATGATACGGATACAGCCGATAGAAATTAGGTTGAAAAACACATTCCTTTAACTATCATTTTACATAATCAAATACACAAATAAATTACAAATAGCTTTAACGAGAAGTGTGGTGCTATTCTGGAGTAAAACAACATCAAAAGAACATAGAAGGTGTTCCTAATCAGTGGGAAATGAAGTGATGTCCATGATTGACAGGTGAGGGGCGGGACTTTACCTATAGGGGACGGGACCGAAGCACAGCAGCAGTGAGTATACTCACAGCACTGGAGCTCCGTGATTGGTGCCTGTGGCAGGTGATGAACACCACATACGGCCAATCATCAGGCTCCATGGTGACACCGGCTGCGTGAGCACAGGTGACGTGGAAGGAGGTGGGACAACGGCCACAGGAACACTGAATACACGCACCGGACAGCTTCTTCATGCGGTTACGACAATATATACACTTCTACACAGAGTGTGAGAGAGAGAGAGAGAGAGAGAGAGATGGTTAGTTTAGAAACCACAGCAAATCACATGAACATTTTCATGTTTTACACATTAAACAGTCAAAAGCTATACACAAATAATAGTCTTACAAATTTTTACTGTTTTCCACATTTTAGATAAATACTGAAGACATTCCAATGACCAAAACTGTTACACAAATCAAAACTATCTTCTATTTTAGATTCGTCAAAGTAGCCACTGTTTGCCTTGTTTCAGCTTTACACATTCTTAGCATTCTAGCAGGCAGCTTCATGAAGAGCCACCTGGAAAGCCTTTGCAACAAGACCAAAAGACTGCTGGCTGCTGAAAACTTTTTTGGTTTGTATGTTTAATTTTTTGTTTTGGAAATAAAATTATACATCAACACATCAACTTCACCTTTTATATCTGCCTCAAACCCTATTCAAGTTGGATTAGTTTCACCTGGGGAGGTGCTGTAATAGGATTACTGATGAAATCTGTGATTTTAATCCAGTATGAATCTGCACAGTCCACAGAGTTTATTGAGCCGCTTTACTAGTCTAATGGTATTCTGGTGTTCATCAATGGGGAACTCTTGTTATAGGCCTTCAAAGAAGACCTAATTTCTGGGAACTATAAAATGCCTGTCTGTAACTAATTTCTTTTTTATTGAATAGATTCTTGCTTGCATTTAAACTCTAAGTATTATTTTATTTCATTATTAAGTATTCATTGTAAAGTTTTGGATGGAAACCAAAAGGTTACATTTCTGAAATGCCAAGTGGATGACTGGCCAATCAGGAATTGTTTTTCTCTGTGCTATTTAAATAGATAGAGCTAAATGAGCTCTCCTATTGGTTAGGACTTCAAGAACTGAAGACAAATCTAGATACATCACTTCCATCCCACCTTAAACGAAGCATTGGTTACATTCCAGTGTTAACAAATTTTGCATTCTGCACCATTTAAGGCAGAACAGATTACCTGAATTAGAAGCCAACTTCAGCCTTGTCAGGAAATGTTCACGTGAATCACCTTTAGCTTAGCACTAACAAACTATTAGAATCCCACAGGGATGCTAGCAGATGTTAGCATTATCATGAGGTGAGTTTCTTTCCTCATATTTTCATCAAGTTTTCTGATATTTACGGCCCAAATTGAAGGCCTAGCTCTAACGGTCACGGTTTGCCACTGGTATTAAATGGAAGCTAGTTCTTGTTGTTATATGGAGCTGTTTAATTGTAATCTAAACACTGAAGTTATCTGAGATCACTCGGAGAAAATACAGATACTTTATCCTGGATGTATCAGCCAGCCAATCACCTTAAAAATTACATTACCGGACCACTTCTTGTAAACAAATCCAGCCAATTAAGACATTAGTAATACATTTTACGCATTTAAGGATAAGCCCTAAAAATCTTGAAGATGAAGAAAAGTAAAAAAAAATAAATAAAAACAACACATTGTGCATCCAAACTTTTGAGTCTTTTGACTGTCTGTGAGTGTGTGTGTGTGTGTGTGTGTGTGTGCGCGTATGTGTGTATGTGTGAGTGAGAGAGAGTAACGCACCAGTTTGTATCGCTGTGCAGGAATAGCACTGACATCAATGGGACTCCTCTTCACTATGTCAACAAACTTCACCTCAGGAAGTCCCACAGCACACATCACATGGGCCCATCTATAACACAGTAATACCACCTATAGAGTAATGCCCACCTTTATTTATAATAGCACAGTATTAATATATTATCATTTTCCTTCTCAACAGTGTAATTATTACTTCAATATTGTATATTAGTATCAATATTTACCACTAATATTAATAACATTAAGTCAACAGTAATGCAGATTACATATAAGAGTGATATCAAATGTCACTAAAGCCAAAATGAAAGAAAAACAAAACAGTCAAATGGCAGATTCACAAATTAAAACAATCTAACATAAAACAAACTAAATGTGAACAGGCTGTGCTACAGTTTACATGTGATCATGTGAATAACATCCTCACCTGTTGTCTGTCGTTCTTTTTAATGCACCCCCTCTTAAGTTACATAAACAGCAATCCTGTAATACACACACACACACACACACACACACACACACACACACACAAACATGCACAGAGTTAGTCACTATGTTAAACAACATCTGAATAGTGATCATCTGACATGGAACCTCTTGGAAGGAAAGAGCTTTGCCAGGTTTTATCAGCACTGATTAAAAAAAATAATTTTTTCAAACATTTAACATCCATGTATACTTTTTAATATCACAGTATGTCGTGTGTATTACATTTAATTAATACACATTTTAAAATTACTGTATCCTGTTTGTGAAATTAGAAATATGTAAATGTGTACAGGAGTTAAAAATATTAACTGACTGATTACATACAGCTGTTAAGTCTCCACATGAACACCGGTCACATGTCCACTCTTGGCTGACATCATGGGCAGCAACACCATAGCAACCTTAATATATTAAAAATAAACAAACAAATGAATAAAAAAGCCACTCCCTGTTATTGTCAGACTGAAAAAACTACAAACTACAGATTCATACTGGATTAAATTTTGATGGCAATCAGTAAAACTGCTGTAATGCTTTCTCCCCAGGTAAAACTACTCCAGCTCAAACATGGTTTCTGTTGACCAGTTTGTGACTGGTCTGTTGAGTCATGTGTGTTACACCTAGGCAGAAACAAAGGCTGCCTCTTTATGTGTAAGACTGAGTCCCAAGGCTCACGCTGAGAATCACTTTAAAGGTAATGGATGTGCGTTGTGATCATTTCTGCCTCATGACTCAGGTCCACAAGTGTTGTGCAGAGGTACGTACTGGCATGAACCTGCACACAGCACCGGCTGCAGGCCACGAGGGGGCTGGAGCCGTCCTCCTCCAGCAGTGTGTTTGGGGGGCAGGAGCCCTCCCGGTACGCAAAACAGATTTCGGGGATCAGGGGTCGTGACCTCACTTCCTGCGACTCCAACTCAACCTTATTTTCATCTGACCTCTCCTCAGGCTGGGGATGGGTGGGAGACAGAATATTACAGAATGTATTGAAAAACATTCAAACAGCATCAAACATGTTGAATAACTTGATTAAACGGCAGTTCCACTGATTTTTAAAAATGTTTGCATAATTAAATGGTTAAAATGTAAACAAAGTCATTGAGAGCACTTCGCTCTGTTCTAGAGAAGCTTACCGAATCAGAATTGTTCACAGTGGTGGTGACAGGAACCAGAGGTCCAGTTTTATAATAAAATTCTGGTAAAAAGTATTTTAAAATCGTTTCATGATGGAGGGATATCTACAGGGTGTTGTGAGGGAAAATAGTTCCTAAAGGAAACTTATTCTTTCAGATTCATCACTAGTTTATCATCATCAACATTACATATAAAAACTCAAGAGGACACTAGGACAGTAGGTTCACTAGTGGTTTTGGATAGTAAATAAAGCTGTATTTGTGTTATGGACATTGTGCCCCTGGTTCCCATCACCACCACTGTAAAGAAATCTGAGTCAGTAAGTTTCCCTACAATGAACCATTTTACAACAAACCACTCTGAATGACACCTCAACATCTGAATTGTGCCAAAATTGTGGAATTAAACTTCATATTATGAAAGATTTAAATTATTATTCTTGTTGATACACTCATCAAATTATTTCTATTAACACAAATACTATGCAACTTCATAGCTTTCGAATAATTTGCAGGAAAGTGTGAATTTAAAAATAAGAAACGTAAGATGAATTTCAGCTGTAGATTATTCAACAGTGACCAAGAAAGCTGCATAACATCACACATTTGAAGTTAAAGAACTTGACAAGGAATGACTATAAATATATAACTAGAGTGTTACAAATATAGCATATGATTAGGAACAATTTGATTCAAACAATATAATACTACATAAATAATTTAAAAAAAGTGATTTCAGTTTTTAAACAGTAGTTTACATATGAAAATTACATATAAAAATTACACACAATATCTGAAAAGAATAAAAAATACATATATGTACGGTCATGTCTCCTGCTAGTACAGAAGAAGTAGACAATATGATATGTTATTATATCCTTATCGTGATAAACTGTCTCAATACACTTTTCTGAGAGCATCGTGAATATCGTCAATACTAAACACTGACTACATGTTTCATTACAAAGTACACGATTAGGCCTGTTTAATCGGATTTAGTGCAGTACAGTTTATAAAACATCCAATAAAAATCATTGTAGTTGTTAGTTTAGTCTTATTATTATTGTAGTATTTTTATATGTGGCATTACAGGTTCCATTTTGTCTGTTTCAACTTATTAAATCACAGAAAAACTATTGTGATGTATGGTGCGTAAAAATGTCAGGTATGATATAATATTTGTGCCATATCGCCCACCCCTATAGTTCAACATGTAGTATAAAGCAGCATCAACAGCAGCTGTTCTATATGAGGTAAAAGTAATTGGTGTAGTGGGTTTTAGTGTAGCGCAGTGTAGTTGTGCTACCTGATAGTAAGGCATGAAGAGAGTGCAGACAGCACAGTGTGGAGCCATTTTAGCTGCAGAACTGTTGTACTCTCTCTCAGAGGGGAAGTGGGCTTTTCTGTTCTGCCACAAATGAACCAGCGGCCTGGCCCAAACATCAGCCTCATGCTGCTCTCCCTCTGCACCACACTCCTCTGAGGGCTCTAATAAACACACGCATAGAGGAAAAGACACACAGTTAACTCTGCATCTATAACTGGAATGCAGTATGTGGTCATAATGGCAGTAAGCCAGAACATTAAAAGGACAGTCCAAAATCCAACTAACCCAGTGAACCCCCTGACCCCAAATACAGTTAATCAGCCAAGACGTGTTTGGTGTCTAAAGTTTGCTTCTTTAGTGTCCTGCTCAAGTTACTTATGTGACGAAATTAGCTATTTACATACATACTTCATTTTCTGATTTTCTGCAAAAAATAGTTTTTAGTTTATAAATAAATAAATAAATAAATAAATACATAAAAATAACAATTCTAAAGCGTATAATAACGACTCCCCCGTGATCCACTGATAAGGCCATTATGCTACTTTCGGTTTTCCAAAAAGGTTTTCCATGTAGGTTTTCACTACACTTTAAGTAGCCAACAAACAATTTTTCTGCTAAATCTGAAGGCAAAAAAGAAAAGTGTTTTGTCAACATTCATAATGCATTCTTCATTAACTGGATGGAAATGTAGCTAGTGTGTTATACAGTGTCAGAAACCACACACGCCGCTCTACTGGAGAATACTTAACTCAATCAACTCTATGTGGTTTAAGGTGAATGCAATGATGTAAGCAGGCAGTTTGCAGAATGCTAATTGGTGTACAAAAGCTTCTATTATTCAAGTCAGATACCAAACATGTCTCAGCTGACCAACTGCGTTCTGTGTATAGGGGCACTTTCTGCAAAGCTATCGGTTTAAAGTGAACACGCTCAGAGTTGTGCATTTTGTTATCTATGAACTTGCCATCATCACTGGTGACCTGCTGCTTCACGGCGCTGGGCACTGCCCTCGCTGTTGGCTTCCTTAGTGGGTGACGCCAACTCTTGGCAGTCCTTCTCTTTACTGAAGGCATGGGGTACTGAGAGAGAGAGAGAGAGAGACAGACACACAGAGAGAGAGAGAGAGAGAGAGAGAGAGAGAGAGAGAGAGAGACAGACAGACACACAGAGAGAGAGAGAGAGAGAGAGAGAGAGAGAGAGAGAGAGAGAGAGAGAACGATGAATATACACTACTAGGGGGGCTAGGTGTGTAAAAATGTATCAGTGCATCAGTCTGAAGGTAGTGATTCAAATGCATCAACTTTAGAATTTTGAAATCAATTATAATCTGCGTTTGCATGATATGCATTTTTCATTTCAAGTTTTTTTAAAATGTAAAAATCTATTAAAGAGGTTGCATTATTTTTATTGTCTTTATTACATTTAATGTAAAGTGTTCCTTTAGTTACATTTGTGCATTCAGTGTATAATCAAATCAAATAATAAGGAAACGCAAAGATTTTTTTTTAATATTTTACAATTACGTAAGTTTCCCTCCAACCAGTACAACACAACATACTTGGACAGCATATACTGACATCTAGTTGAATCTAATCAAGTACTGTGCAAAAGTATGACACCACCCTTCATTTATTTAATTTCCAGTCAAAATGGGCTTTAAGTACAACTTATGGAGGGTATTTCTGAGGAGATAAGATATAATAATGCACCGAAAAACCACGAGTTTTCAAACGCTGGCTCTGGCTTTTGCACAGTATCGTAGGTTCATTCACATTATTCCACTGGTCTTGCAGTAAAAGTGGATGATGGTAAAAATACAATATGACAACACTTGAAATTTTCAAGATGCCCAATATGTATCACCATTTCTGAAGTTTGATAAGCAACAGACAGAATGTAAAACTATGAGCACAAGGACTAATTATTCTCTCTTTTTAAAGAAACATGTAGTTGATCAGTCTTCATTAAGTACTGACAGCATCCATGATAAGCTGGGAGAAGCATACAGTGGCATATGTTCATGTAATTTATCATGACACAGTAAAATATTGCCATGTTGAGATTCCTGCAGCTGTACTCACCGGGCAGACTTCTCCTGGTTCCAGGCCTGAAGCTCCACACTCTGTCTCACTCATGTTTTCTTCACTGGACTCACTGCTACTGTCCTCCTCTCTTTCTCCTGAATCCGAATCTCGCTCAAACCCTTCGCCCTTTAACCTCTGAGGCCCCTGAGACCTGAACTCATCTTCAGGAGCTCCTTCCAGAGGTAGCTCTGCCATCTCTGCCCCAGAAGGGTGCACCACACTGGGCTCCAGGTTGGCCCAGGTTAGGGCCCTCTCCGGAGAGTCTGGAGGCTCAGGGGATTTGACCTGCTGGCAGCGAGACTCCGCCCACATGGCGTAAGGCAGCTGGTCATGAGCGTCACTTTCAGCCAAGCTTGGCTGTAGGCTCTCGATTAGCACCGCAGGATTCTGGGAGTTGAAGTTCTTCCAGATGTTGGAGGAGAAAGGCTTGGTGTCCTCAAACACGTTTGGGGAAGCAAAAGAGATGGATTCACCGAGCGGAGAAGTGCTCTCCTGTGGATGTAAAGAAGCTTGTGGAGTGTTCTGACTGGATGAAGTGCTAGGAGAGTCTACGGACTGATTAGCATGGGAAAGTGCGTGAGTATTAGCCGCTAACATTGAATCCTGAATGTTATCGAAGCTACATCCATAAAGACCTGCTTGACTTACTGTGGAGTGTTGTAAGACATTTGAAGACATTTGCCTGCCCTCTGCTGGAGCTCCTGTTCCTCCCGCTTGATTGGCTCTCTCATTGGGCAGTTGCCATGGCGATGCCAAATTAGCCGTCGACCGTTTCTTGCTACTATTTTCGTGGAATGAGCACCAATCAGGATAAAGTGCTTTAGAACAAGTCCCGGCTTCGTCCACTGCAAGAGGAGCTGATTTTTCAGGGTGGATGGGCTGCTCTGAGGAAGTGTTTGGGTCAGCTGACGGGCGAGCATCATCACTGGACTGGACCGCGAGGGTCAAGGAGGGCATTTCAGACGTCAGGTTTGGGGGGTTCCGTCCCTCTTCTTCCTCTGAAAACTCTGGAGTAAGGAGAGGCATGTCAGAGGAAGTAGCAGAATGCGCGGTTCCAGAACGTTCTCCACATTCCTGGATTTCTGCAGTAACCATGGAACGCTGTGGTTCATCATCTGAAGAAGGATTTCCTTTATAAAGTGCTTTTGTTGCAGGGCTGTGGAGCTTAGAATCTGTATCCGTCTTAACGACTCTACCCTTATTGCTTTCAAGAGAATTACCCGCTGATCTTGCACTTACTTTGCTGTTAACTTCAAGTGCCGCCTCAGAAGACTGACACGGTCCAGCGGTGGGAAGATGTTCCGAGGGAGAGTGACTGTTCGGGGATTTGGCAATAGATGAACCTGAAACAGTTCTTTCTGAGCCCAAAGTCTCATCCATACCAGAGTCCGGAACGTTCTCAGTGGAGGACTCACAGATTTCTAAGGCTTCGTTTGGAGATACCTGACCATCCGCTTCAGCTACAGACTTGTGTGGATTTGTGGATTTAGCGTTTGTGGACGTGTCCTGAGAGGTTGAAGGTTCACATTGAGCTGGCTGAATGGGTTGAGACTCAGGGGGCTGGGCTTGGGGTGGGTCTCTGTGACACCTAGATGACTTGGCCAATAAATCACTCTGAACTCGTGTTACCTTGACAACACAAATCTGTCGACACGGACCAGCAAGTCCTGAAAGATAAACACAAAGTGATCCAGTCAATATTACTCAACTATTACTCACCCGAAACATTACTGTAATGAATTATAACAATACCTGCCACTCTGAAGATACATTACTTTCGTGATAGTTACTGAATAAGAATTCTTAAAGTTTAAAAGCCATGACCTGATATTATGAAAAAGTTAAATGAGCATAAATGAATCAGAGCGCCGCCAAACACTGAAATTTAGGAAAATCATCATCGTGTAACCTGAGAGATGCAATGCACCATGGGCTTTGCGGTCTTTTTTCAGCTGGTCAGCCTCTTCCTGATTCTTATCTCCTTGAGGTAATCCTGTCTTTGTACGTCGACCCCCCTCTGACGAGGAGTTTGCCATGACAACCTGCTCCTGCATTGTCTTCAGCCGTTTAGAGCGCGTGCGAGGGTAGTGGACACTGCTAAGGGACAAGAAGAAGGGTGAGGTCGAACAGAAGATATACAATGACCGTCATAGGGTTGGTGTCATAGTCTGGTCGTTGAGTGGACAAGGGAGGGGACCAGAAAAATAAATCTTATAAATCTAAAAAATTATCTTCACGCATTATTTACAGTCATCCTTGTCCAACTTACTAAGACAGAAAACGTGCATCTGGTAAAGCAGTAGCAAAGCACTTGTTTCCTCTCCTCTCTCCCCAGAGGAATACATACTGTAAGCTTTATAGCCATAAACTCCCACCTAATCCATGGGTTAATCCCATTAAAACTAAACAAGTGCCCCCACAACTACAACGGTTCTTCACAGTTGAGCAAAAACACTTAGCAAAATTCATTATGATAAGTATTCTTATTTCTCATAACAAGAAAGTGACATCGATATACAGTACTGTGCAAAAGTCAAAGACCACCCGTTCGTTTATTTAATGTCCAGTCATAAAGTGCAAATTATTAATAGAAAATTACACAGAACCTTCAGCAACTAAATACAATAATTTACATTTTTTCAGTACTTAGTGTGTCCACTCTTTACTTTTACTACACATTCTACTCTTTTGGGAGATCTGCTTTCAGTTTTTCAAAGAAATCTGCAGGGATATTTTCCACACCAACAAAGCTCAATCTTAAAAGTCGACTGCATTTTCTGCTTAAACATGTAAACTTACAAAACCTCATAAAACCAAATTTAAACTCCTCATAAAAACCTGATACAACCCCACAGTACTGTAGTCATGTTTCCATTAAATTAGACTATAATCACTACACTGCATCAACCCCCCACCCCCTCGAGATTAGAACTGTGTGTTCATAGCACCTAGTAAGAACCAACCGGGAACAGTTACACAAAACCCTCAAGTTTAGTATCAATTTGTCTGCTGAGACACGTAAAAATTTTGTAATATCAGCAGGACATCATTTTAACGGTGGTGCCACCTGCACACAGCCATGTGAGCTGCTTTTAACTTGGCCAAAATGTTGTTAAGCACACCACTGGAAACTTTGTGACATGAATGAGTTTAAATAAACACTCAAGCCAAGACACACGTTATAAAGAGCTTACTTCATCACGGTCAAAAGCAGGAAAGGCATCTCAGTACAATAAAATGATCATTTTACTTAATTGTGGTGGTGAACTTTGTGGGTTTTGGGGTGAAGCCCAGTTTTAATTTCCAAACTGCTGTTAAATGCCTAAAAGGTGGTTTTTAAGGGGATATAATTTTTTCACCTTTGGGTTTATTCCCAAGGCAGCACTTATCAGTTGTTCTTTCAGTTTTGCACTTCTAAACAGGTTTCTATTAAATATACTAAGTTATTACAAATCAGCAAAGTAAACTTTGTCAAAAAAGTTTGCTGATTTGCATTACAAACATTTTGAAAAGTGATATGTCCCCAAAATTATCTGGCAATGTATGAGACTGTGGTAAATTACAACCATAGTAGAAAAAAATACATTTTACACTCCAGGTGAATTTCATACCTCGGCAGAAGGTTTGATGCGATTGTGGCTGGGTTTCTCACCTTTTGGTGGAAGGTTTGGGCCTGCGGCGTCTCTGGAGCCACATCTGCAGCTCAGGTGTGGTGCTGGGTGTGGCCAGCGTGTGGTCCAGAACACAAGTGTCTTTGCCCTGTGTCCAGACCTGGTAACGGTCTGGCTGGAAACGCCTCACAAACGGGTCCATGGAGATCTTCACCATGTCCTTACTGCACGTGCACTGTGTGGAGAAAAGATGAATTCAACATGTTTGGAACAAACCATTTTAGGTTCCTAACTTATTTTAAAAGTGAAGTATGGTAATACCTGCTCAAGTACATCCAATTCACCGACCCCAGAGCTGATGGGCTTAATCAGAGGTCTGTCTCATGAATCTGGACTTCTTGCTTAGCGAGCTAACTTTAACCTTAGTTTAATCTAGTCCTGGATTTTCTGTCTAACAAAGGTGGATCACTAGGCTATGTTACCATAGCTACTTATGCTTCGCATCTAACCTGCTCCAGGGCAGGTTTGATTTGGGATTTCTGATTTGAAACAGCTCTCGGACTGAGCAAGGGCCAAGCCGTTGACCAACCAGTGACAGCCTTCTGATGGAGCTGGACCCTATGGTCTGTTTAGGGTTTTTTTATTTCTTTGTTGTGTTGATCACATGAAAAAATATTGGTGGAGGAAATAAATCAAACTACCTAGATGTCTAGAATGTAAAGAAATTATTACTCCAATACGGACGTGGTAGATGGCAACGGCCTTCGAAAAGCTGCTGAGGTACACTGAGCCAAAGCTAGCCCTGGTCATTGCATTTATGTTCATTTTAACTTGGGCCAGTAATAATAATAATATTAGTAAACAGAACTTTAGGATATAGAACTTGCAGCAGCCCATCATTACATATTTCAGTCATCAATTTTTTGGTCATATATTTATGAACATAAAATAGTCTCAGCCCCACGATTTAAACAAATCTTGGTTCTTACGCAGAGTATGTTTAATACAGTTTAGTTCACTTCCTATCTTACTAAGATAATACTAAATTAACATAAAATGTCACAAAACAGTAAAGCAGTTAATTCTACTACAGTCAGAATCAGCAACAAGAACAGCAGTCAGTCAGGGAATTTGTGAAAGGATTAAAAAATGAGATTCTTTCGGCTCTGTTAACTATCCAGTAGTTCTGAGAGGTTAAATGTATTTTATATGAACTATACCTGAGTGGCGACCTTTCCATAGTCGATCCAGCGCACGGTGGCAAAATTGGTGGATTCAGCACAGTTGAAGCCGTGGTTGAAGCCAGCGTGGTAACCATATGGAAATGTGATCATGAACTCTCCTGCCTCTTGGGTTATCTGACCACAGACACGATAACAATGCTTGACAAACATCTCTCAGTATATAGGCTTACAAAACTTAATCCGAAATTAAGAAATATATGGCCAAAAGTTTCCAGACACCTGCTCATCTGATGTTTCTTCTAAAATCAAGGGTGGTAAAAGGGAGTTTGTTCCTCTTTGCTGCAGTAACAGTCTGTAACCTTCTGAGAAGACGACACTAATGTTGCAACATTGCTGTGAAGATCTGACTGATCTTCATGTTGAAGATGATGAGGATTACAAACACCACGCCAACTCATCCTAAAGGGACTAGATGGAGCTCCATTACTCCAGAGAACGTCGTTCCACTGCTCTACAGACCAGTGCTAGGGGGACCCAACTAACTGATGCTAGGCACTGGGCATAGTGACCTCATGTGTGCCTGTTCAGGAGCAGCCCATTCTATCTACAATACTTTTCTATGGAGATTACAGAAGCTGTGAAACCGAACACCTGTATCAGCAATGGGTGCATCTTAAAGCAGCTGAATTCACTAATTAGACGGGTTGCCTGGACATATAGTGTATGTCTAAGCATATGCGTTACAGTGGATTTTCCAGGTAATAACCACATTTAATGCTAAAAATAAGCATAAAACACAACCCTTGACAGTCCTTGCCATTACCACATCAGCAATCAGTGAGCCTGGGCGATATCTAAAACTGTTTAGTACGATATCTTCCTGATCAAAACAAAAAAAGTACTTCATCTCTTGTTTTAAAAGTTGTTACAGCAAAAATGTGCATTCATGAGCTCCTGCTGGTGTAGATTCATGGTGACTTGTGTGCTAACAACTTCAGACTGTTAAACATGCCTTAGTAAGTGAGTGAGTTCCAAAGCCATGCTTTACATGAAAAAACAGGTGTTTTCTATGGTTAGAAAAGCGGAGTTTTGAGATTTAGCTATAAATGGCTGTTGGAAACCATGAAGTACAATATTATCATAATCATAACTCATCTGGACCATCAGGGCAAGTATAATGCATGCTGGGGAAACCCCCAGCAAAGGCAGTGTGGATTGAAACAATGGCTTATTAATGCACCATCCACTGTAATAATTGTGGATGCATCCATTGTTTTAACAGTACATTGAGTAAAACATTACATGTATATACTATTTAATATTATTTAGCAAGCTGTCTGAATTTAAAATAGTATTCTCTAGTTCTCCATCAGCTCTCTTTTCTAAAAGAGCAATTATTGCCTTTAAAGCATCAGCATCGAGTTAACTGTTAATCATTACTGACAATCCATTACATTGTCCTCTTGCCCAGGTCTAGCAATCATGTTAGAAAAGTAATAAAATGCTCTAAATCTGCCACCCACTTCAAGAATTTCCCCAAAAAATCTGGATTTGATGCATCTCAGTGGCCTGGAAGAAAGAACATGAGGTCTACCTTATCAAAAGGGATGCCATATTTCTTCAGCACGGAGGGAGATATCAGAGTCATCTTATGTCTGAGAAAAGCTTCACAACTCTTAAAGCTGTTAGGGAAGAAACCTGGAAGGAAAAGACCAAGAAAAATATGATCCTCAACATCACATTTACCATTACTGAAAGGAAATGCCAAAATATAGAAGCTTCTATATGACAGCAACTGCTGGCCGTGTAGACTGAAGCACAGCTGATATTAATGGCATATATTGGTTGGGGAAATATAGATTCATTACAGATCCACAGATCCTACAGCACTTCTTACCAATGCATGAAGGAAACATTAGGAGGTACCATGGAGACTTGTGGAAGAGTGAAGCATAAACATTTCAGTAGACAGAGAGACACAGAGGTAATAGCCAATTTACCTGTAGCTAATCGCTCCAGTCTCTTCCCATGTTCTGGAGGAATGGCATACCTAAAAGATTCAAAGAACAATCCTTTTAGAATCAGAGACTGGCTGTCAAAAGTGAAGAATTCAAAGTCAAAAAACAGTCATATGCAAACTTTTGGGCACTGCAGTCAAATTTTATGTTTTGCTGAGTTCCTAAGTGAAAATAAATGAACATATCCTCTACAGAGAACACATTTTAGTGCACAATTACTGTTCATTTGCTGAATTTAATATTGGGGGAAAATATATTTAAAATGTAGTCAGTGCCAAAGTTATGGAACATTTTATATTTCATGTTTTATTTTTGTTCAATATGTTAAACACATTTTAACATATGAATAGAAATTGTGCAGTAAAATGAAACAATAATAATAAATACATTATGAAAATGATAAATGAAATAAAATTAATAAAGTCTTATAATAAATTAATAAAGATAAATAAAATTAATAAAGTCTGTTCCCTGTAGAGGATGTGTAACTTATTTTCATTTAGAAAGTCAACAAAGCATGTTACTTGACTGGGGGTGTTCAAACTTTTGCCATCAGCTGTAACAGAAACTCTTTTGAGTGACATTACTTCATAGCTACATTAGACACATCTCCAGTGTAAAAACGAAAATAGCACATTTCAGTCACCAAACTCCTTGGCCAATTGACTACGTTTGGGATAAAGAGGTGAACTGTATGAATTCTATTTTTAGTAAACCCATTTCTTTTTCACCTATAACCCCTGATGCTTGTATTAAAGAATAACTACATTTAGATGCACACAACTGTGAGCCTGCGAATCAAGACGTTCACATGAATTGTATAAAATTTTAGGCCATTTATAATTTCAATTACATGCACATTAGCAGAACCTAGCTTTACAATGTAATATTCCTTCTGGGTATTATTTTCTTTCCATGCATTGAAACATGTAATCATGTCTAAACATATGTGCGGTCCCTCCCCTCCCGCCAAAAGTGGCAAAGCCTTTCACCTTCTGTGTTTGTGTTGGTGTCATTAAGCAATGATCATATGCGCAGTATTGAAAAAAGTAGAGGAAAAAAACTGCACGATAGACAGTGGAGAGATTGAAGTGTTTACATGTCCAAATCTATCTCAAATAGTCTGTCCAATATCAGCCCGGACCACATGTCTACTGTCGGGTTAAGCTTGACTAGGACCCAATTCAGAGTATGGTCACTGAACAGTGCTGCTTTCATGATCTTAGCTTAGTTAGACTAATATTGCACCACTGGTGTGCATGTAAACATAGTTACTGTTATGTGTGTGTCCATCATCTAAGAATAAGAATACAAAACCAGGAACAGCTCCCTTGTATGGCCATACAGGATGGAGAAGGCAAAAGCTGACCCTCGACAAGTACCCATTTGAGCTTTCAGTATGGGCAAAAGAGACTGATCCAGTTGACCCCTCACTCTATCAACATGTGAGCATCGCAGACAACATATGGAAGCAGATTTCTCACCAGGACTTGGGCTCTCCGAAGTGCAGGTAGTTGATGCTATAGAGGTCCATGTCCTCTGTGTGCCAGGAGAAGCTGGTCTTCCACATGCCAAAGTACAGGTAGGGTGTGTTTACACCCTGAATAGAAACCCCGCAATCCTCCTCAATTACGTCCAGGATGGAGTTCAGATGTCCGATATTCCACTCTTCAACACCCTGTAACATACATGAACAAACATAGAGCACATATAGGACGTTATTGGGACTAAAACTGACTCTCAGGTACTGTTCATCAGAGGGTCTTTAAGAGGTTTGTTACACACTAAACATGGTATTTTGGTGGAAAACCTGAAACATGAAAGTACATCAACATGACTATCCTTCATAGATAATTAGTAGGCTTAATTAGCATCTAGAAACCCTGCCCTTAAAGTTTCCAAGCAAATCTTTCACTGTTTTAGTATTTACCTCATCATAAAGCGTCCCACTGACATCTGCACCATATATGGGTGGCACAAAGGTCAGATTGCGCCAGTACTTTCTCTCCAGGTCTTCATAGTTCAGGTAGCGGGGAGTGCAATACCTGCATAGGTTCATTAAAAATTCAAGAAAATGGCCAGTCAACAAGGCAACTATCAGGGTTGTAACGAGCCAGAAAATTCATAATTTGCTTCAACATGATACAGTAGTGTCTTCATTCGATACATTTTTCAAGACAGAAAAAATAATGTGTGCCTAAAAATCTGCCTGAGATTAATGTGTTTATATTTCCATTTTAAGTTTCTTAGAACATTTAGCATTATAAGAGTACAAATGTTTGTAATAATATGCTAACCATGAGGTGATATGGACTTACAAAGAGTGTTCTCTTGATTTTAAGGAACTGTAATTATTTCTACAGGAGTGAGGTTCTGATTTTTGCTTAAGTTATGGTTCGATTTCTATTACACTTTACATTCAATAAAATAAGTATTTGCTCCAGTCTACTGAGAGGCTCATTTTGAACAATACAATATGATGCACTGTGGTGTTATGCTCATATAAACTTGTAATGAAAAAATGGTCAAGTATTCTGTAATGAATCATCAGTGCACATTTACATAGTGAGAAAATAACACATCAAAACTTAAACTAATCGTAAAAATCCAAAAACAGATTAAGATGACCTTTTGCAGGACCTTTAAAGAACGCCTGCAATAAGGCAGAATAACTGCCAATAAATAATAAATATTTGCCAACATCCCTAACAGAACCTCATTGTGAAGAGCACAGGACTGATGACCATTATATGCAGACTGGACTCTGTTAAAGTTAACGTGTGCTGTGTGCGTAAACATGCATGTCTTACGTGTCGCTGTTGGCCAGTCTGCGAAACTCCTGCACGCTGAGCGCTTTCCTCTGGATGTTGTACTGAGTGAAAAGCCCTGATTGGCCGGCCACCATCTGCTGAATGGGTGCCTGGATGATGACGTCATCGATGTCGTCATAGCTACGCCTCGGCTTCCATCCCTTCGGCGGTATCACCTGGAAAGAGACAGAAACCAAAAAAAGATGGGACATTAAGGAGGATGAGTAAAAGAGAAGTAACATTCTAACAGCGATAGTTTGATTTCAATTAAGAAACAGAAAAGCAACCAGTTCTCTCAGCTCTACTTAAGTTCTACCATAAATCAGTTCAGCTGCAAGCTAGCTTACTACTAAGTTTACTACTTACTAAACTAGCTTTTAAGTCGAGCTAAGTAGTGACTGAATAGTTCCACCTAGCCTTACGTTGGTGCCCAGTAAAACCTAAAAACTGCACCTCTTGATGAAAGAATTAACACGACATAAATAGTATGGAAATTGAGTCAGTTAGGCTGAAAAAATTCAAATTAACTAAAAAATGAACTGTTCAGATAAAAACTCAGTAATTAGTCAAAGTAAGATTATGTTTTAGCATATTTTGAATTAAGGTGGCTTTTATCAAATGCATTATATTCATTATTTTTAGTATGGCTGCCAAGCGCATAAAATATTCTTGGCACCTATAAGGAGTTTCCGGTCACCTCCGCACAAACAGAACGGGCTCTAAAGTTTTTAGCTAAAACATTAGTTGATTCAGCAGTCGCGCAGATGGAGTGTTCTGTATCAGTGAATTTATCTGACAGACTGCATAAAATGTGTTGGGCTATTTTGTGTTTTTCTCGTAACTTAGTTGACATACATTCATACATTCAAGTGGGATCTTTGAGTTGAATCAACTTTTCAAAATTTAGTTTAGTCTGTTAAAACGTCTCAGCTTTACTTGATAAATGCTCAGTCAATGCAACCTTCCTGAGCAAAATGCACATCATTCCCATTTTTGCATATTGGGTGTGTCTTATTTTAGTTTGTAAGTTCAGTGTTGGTCAAGGTGAGTTACCATGTTCCCACCTGCTGAGTGAGGTTTTGTGGTGGCTGGACACCGTATATGTGCTGAGATGGACCAATGATATTGCTCACTGCAAAAATAGTACTTTTCTCTAACATTTCTGTAAGGGCTTTATTTATTTAACATTAAATTTAACACTGAAGTAAATTAGCTTTTATGAGAGCAGTGCAGAAGATCTGCTATTCTGCAGTCACTTTGTTTTCCTCAAATATGAGTAGCATGATAGGGTAGTTGTTGTGATGATGTGAAATATTTAGCAGCCCGTTTTCCCGATTAATCAAAGCCATAAAAGACAGAACTTTCTTAAACTTATCATCTGTACATTATTTACCTGTTTAGTCTTCCTATGTTCAGGCATCAAGAGAACAATCTGGCTGGTGATACTTCACAACTCATAAAATTCACCAACGTTGTCCACGTTTATCATTTGTTTAACTCAGAGTAAAAACTCCCTTGTGCTTGAACTGAAAATTCATCAGTTTATGAGTCTACTAGGACTGTCCGAATGCACCAGTGATGTGTGTTAGTCCAGAAAAGGAGCTAAAATGTGCAGCACTGTGGGGCTTTAGGACCAGGACTGGGAACCACTTGCTTCATGCATACCTTGGCCAGTCCAGCACGGTGAGCTCCCTGCGACTCCATGTACACCAGGTACTGGTTGAAGTCCCGGAACTCCGCCATGGTGGGTCGGAAGGTCATAATCTTACAGGTGGGGTTAACGGAGGCATTTGCCCCGGCGCCCGCCATCCTGCCCTGCTCTCCTTACTGCAGCACCACCTGGAGGAGAAACATAGCAGAGCAGACCGGTAAAAAATATCATAATGTTCCACATGAGAGTGATTCTCATTTACACAACCTTCCCTTTGCACAAAACATAGAGCCAAAACATGTTTGAGGTGCAAAGTTTGCTTGTTTAATTTTACACTGGAGCTTCTAGACTAACATAATAAAGTCTACATTATTAGCTCCCCTAATTCAGCACAAAACTAACAAAGCAAATTTTGCACACCAACGTGTCTTGGCTGATGAAATATGTTCTAAGTAAAGGGGGAACCGTATAAATTAGACTGTTTGGCGAACCACTGTCTAACAGCAGCAAAGGCAAGCCTCACTTTTTTTTCTCTGACATAAAAGGGCATTTCAGCCTAAAACTATCATTTTGTATGTTATTTGTCATGTTCGGCTGTATTTTTTAGCACAGCCTCATCAGTTTATGACAATTCATGATTTTGTGTCGTCTACCAATGTTCTGTCACTACAATTCCCAGCATGCAGTAGGCATCATACTAAAAAACTTATTATCAGTTTATTTTATTCCATTTATGATGGAAGGATACACGAAGTGTGTTGTAAGGCACAACAGCCCACCAAAGAACACTTTCAGATTTACCACTATTTTACCATCATCAGTGTCACACATTAAAACTCAGAAGCCTCGTGTAGGTTCACTGGTGGTTTGGGATGGTAAATAAAATAATTACATTTGTGTTGTAGACATGGTGACCCCTGGTTCCTATCACCACCACTGTAAAGAAATCTGAGTTGGTAAGTTTCTTTAAAAATGAACCATCGCACATCAAACCACTCCGAATGACTGCGTACATCTCAACCACTGAATCATGCAAAAATTTTGAAAAATCAGTGGAGTTCCCCTTTAAAGGATGGCTTTATATATGTTTTCGCTGCCACGAAAGGACCAGGTCAGACAAACGGCCCTCTAATTATTCTAAAATAAACAGTCTGAGACATTTTAACATGACTTGTGAATTTACTACGAAAGTAAACACGAAGCTGAAGTCAGCGTCTTAAATCTCCAGCTTCTCGTCCGAATTTTCCCGTTCCACCTTAAATGGGGCAGGAGTTTAAACGGTGCCTCAGGCGTCAGAACGTAACTGCTGCACCATTTAAGGTGGAACGGGAAAATTCGACCAAGAAGCTGGCGAATAGGAAGCCAACCTCAGTCTCGTAAAACAATCAGGGTTTGTCTTTCCTCATAACTCGAAGTCACATCCGCATCAACAAAGCCGGATAATATTTAGAAATGTTTGTAAAGGCCTGCGCTCAGTGTTAACCTAGCTGCACCGCCACAACACAATAGAAACGCGAGCAAAAGGGGGACTCAAAGGCCCAAAATCCGTGGTCTCCGTTTACATATACAGCATTTCCAGACGCCGTTTGGGTTTTGGGTTTTGGGTTTCTGGATAAAGTACGGTTAGGGTGCCCTGTTCGGTTGGCTAGCTTAGCTTAGCTACCGCTAACGTTTGCTAACTGTCACACAGGTGGACGGTGTAAATACTGGCTAACGTTAGCCAGTTAGCTCGGCGCTGCAGCAGCTAACGACACATTTCTGCACATTTCTCCACTGAGTAACGAAGACTTCTGTCTCTGCGCTCTCCAGCGATGTTTGTTCACCCTAAAATCACTCCAGGGAGTGAGTTTTACCTCGCTGTGTGCGGACGGGCTCTGGCGGCTGCTGCTGCTGTTGTTGTTGTCGGAAATCCCTTTAAACCTCTCAGCTGTTGTCTGGTTACTTCATGACAGCCGTCCGTTCTCACACGATTTCACCACTTCTTCTCGGAGCTCTTTCTCCGCAGACACTCGCCTCTGTTGCCATCTAGTGTTTATGGAAAACCGTGTTTCCATATCGTTTGGTTTTGGTTTACGTGAAAATATAGCTTCTTCACAATATTAAACGTAGTATGAAGCATGAAACATGTCACTGAGCTGCATTAAAGGGACCATGTCATGGGAAACTGACCTCTGTTTGTTCTGAGTTTGGTGTAGTCTGTAAACCATACTAGAACATACTGTTCACTCCGTATATGGACATTTAGCTGCTAAACTGGCCCATTTTGAATTCAGTGTTTTTACACGGGCTGCGTTCAACTAAAGCGGCTGTTGGAAACTGCGAAATGCAGTTTACTGACTTTGTACTCAAACAGCCTTTTAAAGTATGAAACTCTGGATTCTAGATGATGCATGAGTTACTAGATACAGTGAAAGACATTAAACTTGGTGGCGAATGTGAAAAAAATACAGTACTGTGCAAAAGTCAGATACCACCCTTCATTACATTTAATTTCCAGTCAAAACTGCCATTAAACTCATGTATTCAAAAGGAAATTCAATCTAAATGTAATTCAGTATAAACGAAGTCATTTGATGGTGGTTTGATGTGAAACGGTTCACTGTAGTGAAACATACTGATTTTCTTTAAGTGGTGCTGATAGGAACCAGAGGTCACCATGTCTACAATACAAATACAGCCATTTTGTTTACTATCTAAACCACTGGTGAACCTGAATGTGTCCTCTGAGTTTTATATATTAATTTGATGGAAAAAAATTGTTGGGTACTTTATTTTATCAGAGTGGAGTACTGTTTTTCTGGTGATGACTGTTTTGGTAGTCTAGTTACTGTGCTAGCTAGCTAGCATATGTGCTAACCTACAATCCAACCAAGTTCAAGTTGTTTTTGTCTATTTTCCTTTCTTCTTGTCAGCTACACATCCTTTCAGACTCGTAGTGCTGAGTCGTCTTCTCACAGTGGGAAAATGGGTAGAAACACCTGTGGATGTTTAGATCTGAAGTAAGAGTGGAGCTTGATTTTCTCCTCTCTCCTAAATATGTAGGCTTTTTGTACTGTTTACCTGATGGGGCAGTTTTGGGGGTCTACCAGGGGAATGTTCAATCTCAAAACATTGTGCACTGTTTAGTTTCGGTATGCGGGTTGGCTGACATTTTTCATCGAAATGGCGTGAAACTGTGTGCAACAGGCTTTGAGATGTGTTTTCTCTCATTTGATTGGCGTGTCAGAGGTGTTACCCAATCAGCAGCAACGTGTATGTAAAGACTTCCATATTAAAAAGGCAGTGCACACAATGTGTTCTAAGAAATTCCTCTACAAATGCAGCCGCTGGGGTTTGGATTATTTTCTATCTAATCTTCTCAGAGAATGAGTAGAGTTTTATCTAATCTTCCTGAAAAATGAGTAGAGGAACTTGTTCATCCCAAATTGCTCATTAATGTGGTTTATATGGGAGGGAAACAAAACAAGGGGGATGTGAAACGTTAATCTAGTTAGTGGGTGAGTGAAAAATAAGCACACTGTTTTGAGATTCAACCTCACATGTACACAACCACCATATAAGCACTGCCAGAACAAAACACTGTATCTTTACAGGGAAAAAACCTTACATTTTCATGATTTAAAAAATCATCTTCCTACACATTATTTGAAATCTGTGAAGTTGGACAGAGTAATATCATACAAACCTCAAATCCAAAAACGTTGGGACAGAATGTGAAATACTATGAAAAACCTAATGAAGTGATTAATGAACTCTGTCTGACCTGTAATAAACTAAAAACAGTAAAAACACTGTATTTTGATGTTTTACCTTGTGAACTTTATTGCTTGTTTTTTTGTTGTTGTTGTTGTTTTTTTGTTTTCTTTACAAATAAATACATTCATTGCAAGTTTGATGCCTGCAATACATTCCAAAAAAGTTGGGACAGGAGCATGTTTACCACTGTGTGACATCACCTTTCCTTCGTTGGACACTAATTCATCCAGTTTTGAACGCAGATTTTTTTTGCCATTCTTTCATTACACAAGTCTTCAGCTGCGCAACCGTACAAGGCTGAGTTCTTCATTAGCATATTCTGCACTTCAAAATGCGGCACATATTTTCAATGGGAGATTGTTCTGGACTTTAGGCTAGCCAGTCTAGCACCTGCACTCTCTTATTACACAGTCATGCTATTGTCATGCTGTAGAAAGTGGCTTGCCATTGTCATGCTGAAATAAGCATGGACGTCCCTGAAAAAGACAGCATCTAAAAGGCAGCATATGTTGCTCCAGATGTGCAAGTTACTTACTAATACCCCTCATATCATGACAGACTCTGACTTTTAAACTTCATGCCAGTAACAATCTGGATGGTCCTTTTCTTCTTTGGTTTGGAGAACACAACATCTTTATTTCTATAAAAACCTGCAAGGTTGACTCATCAGACAACAATATATGTTTCCACTGTGCATTAATCTCTTTCAGATGAGCTTGGGCCCAGAGAAGTCGGCGGTGTTTCTTGATGTTTTTGATATATGACTAGTGCAGGCTTAACTTGCATTTGTGGATGCAGCGACAGATGGTGTTCACTGACAACAGTTTGTCAAATTACTGCGGTGATATCCATTAGAAGCATGCTGACTTTTAATGCAGTGCCATCTGAGAGATTGAAGTTCGTGACATTTAGTTGTGGTTTTTGGCCTTGCTTTTTGGGCACCGAGATTTTTTTTTGATGACATCATGCACTATAGATGGTGAAATATATAAAATCCTTGCAATCAGGAATGTTGTTCTTAAACAGTTGGACTATTTGCTGATGCATTAATGTGGTGAGCTTTGACTCATCCTTGCTTATAAAGGACGAGGCCTTCACTAGATGCCTCTTTTACACCCAAGCATGATTGCATCACCCATTTAACAACGTTCTTAGTCTTAAATTGGCCTTGTCCCAACTTTTTTTTGGATTGTGTTGCAGGAATTAATCTCAGAATAAGTGTATGTTTACAAAACCAATGAAGCTGATGAGATAAAAACATTACATGTCTTGTCTTTGTACTGTTTTTTTTTGTTCAAATACGGGTCAAAGTGGATTTACAAATCACTGCATTTCACATACTGAATTTTTTGGAACTGTAGAATAATTATACACATTCATCCACAACTAACCTAGTTTTATCTTATTGAAAGCACTGACTCCAAACATTTGAACAGTGGTAAATATAATATGAATCTATTTATTAGATAGTAATACAGCCTGTTAAATATCAGATAATTATAAATAGGGGCTTCCCCCACCCATAAAGTCATCTTGATGACTGTGAACTGTTTAGTTTAGCAACCTTACTGTAGAGGGTCTTAAGGTGGTACGATTCGTAATTTCTGACGTAAGAGACAATCAGAGATTACGCACAGACTGAGCGCGCGAGAGAGAGACGGAGACGAAGAGAGAGTTAGAGACAAAGAGAGAGAGTCAGAGAGAGAGAGAGAGAGAGAGAGAGAGGGAGGGAGGGAGAGAGAGAGAGAGAGAGAGGGAGGGAGAGAGAGAGAGGGGGGGGGGAGGGGGAGAGAGAGAGAGGGAGAGGGGGAGAGAGAGAGAGAGGGAGAGGAAGAGGGAGAGAGAAAGCTGAGCACACGCTGTAAAGCAGATTAGAGCTGAGCGTCTCTCTCCTCCTCTCTTTCTGTCCTGCACTCCGCTCCAGACAAAACTGACCTGTGAGGAAATGTACTGTCCGGCAGGGGAAACTCACAGTGGAGGATTAAAGAGACACTGCTGGAGGTGAGTGACTAAATATAAACAATTACTGCATGTGTGTGGAGACGGAGGGTGAAGGAGAGTGAGTGAGTGAAAGAGAAAGAGTGATAAAAAAGAGAAAGACAGAAAAAGGTAAAGAAAGAATATATATACATCTACATACACAAGAAAGATGTGTATGCGCAATACATATATATATATATATATCATACATATATATACATACATATATATATATATATATATATATATATACATATATATATATATATATATGTAGAGAGAGAGAGAGAGAAAGAAAGAGAGACAAAGAGACAAAAGAGACAGAAGGAAAAGGAGACAGGAATAGGATAGAGAAAGGGTTGAAAAAGCAGGAGTGATAAGAAGAGAAAGAGAGAGGACAGGAGACAAGAGTGGGACAGAAATAAAAGAAAAGAAAGAAAGACAGAGATAAGAGACTACTGTTTGGAGTAAGATAGAAAGGGAGAATGACTTCAGAAAAGAAAGATATATATATGTATATATATATATATATATATATATACTTATGTTTATATATACATATATATGTATAGAGAGAGAGAGAGAGACAGTAATGTGCATAGTGTCACTCTCTCTTTATATAATATAGAGAGACTGACACTAATGTGTAGATTGAGAGAGAAAGGGAGAAAGTAAAGTAAAAATAATTGAGAGTGAAAAAGTGCAAGAGTGATAAGAAAGAGAGCGAGAGAGCATGAAAGATAAGAGGAGAGAGAGTGAGAGAGAAAGAGAGAGAGAGATTAAGGGGAATTAAGCATATGGCCTGTTCCACCTGATCTGTTAAAGGTGAACTGTGGCTTGTTTATTTCTGTGAAATGAAGAAAATAGAAACAGATTCACCCTCAACAGTAACGGCATCTACCCTGCATTTACTTTAATATACAAGGAACTACCATTAATCCCACTGTGTGTAGCCGTATAGTCCTGTTTTACAGCCTAGCTGCGTCTAAAACTGATATAGGTGCCTGAAGATGCATATAAAAAAATAGTGTTTTCATTCCTCAGCTATAATAGATCATTCACTCACATCCTCAAAAGATGTGTCCTTCACCAAATTCACCGAGTTCTCTTTGAATTCTCTATCGAAGGACTCACAATCATCAGATTTATCCGCTCGGGGAAGGGGACCGAAGCACAACCCACGTTACAAAATGTTCTTCCGAATATTGTGTGGAATTACACATTTCCACCATAGAGGTCTCCAAATCTCCAAAACTTAATTCATCGG